CACTATGTTTTGTCCTTACAATAGTGGAGAAAACCTTCCCTGATTCATTTTTATACCTAAATTTCACATTTCATAACTCCTGCTAGAAGCAACTTGGGCACGAACTAACTTAGGGTATATCACTCCTAGCTATGCCCTATCTAACCATCATATCCCCGACTGAAAAGCTTTTTGACACCTCGGGTGGTTCCCTCGTCAGATGAATGAACCCGGCATGATCCTGTTAGATCCGACCAACCCAAAAAAATTGAATTAGCATTTAGTGGTAGATTCAGTAAGGGATCTGACGACCGGATTTTGAAATGCTTCCCATGGAATCCAATACTAGGATTTCGAAGAAGTTTTCGTATGTTCCTATCGAATATGATGGGCATCCGACGAGGTTTGATTGGCAGTACATATATAGTTCCATCGGATTAAACATCTTGTTCTACTAGATGCAGTTTGCGAAATTTCTGTTTTTTTTTATAGGAATTTTCAGGTTCATTTTTCTATTTTTCTTTTTGAGACTTCTAAGTTTGTCTCTGCTTGAATCAATAAGTCATAGGCATCCGTGAATGAGATATACATAGGTTTCAGTTTAATTTCATAATCCTTTGGACAAATAGAAATCAAGAGTAAGTTACTTAGAGATAGTCCAAATAAGTGAACTCGACGTATATACTCGGTATTTCGAGCTCAATTTTTCATTAAGTAAAATAAGTATACTAATCGCTAAAAATGTTAAAGCTAATTTAGAGCAATTCAATAACTAACGTTTTCTCTGATCATTCAAATCTATTAGATAGTTAAGATAGGTTTTAGTATTTGATCTTGTCGATCCATCCATTAATTTTTTAAGCATTATAACAGTTTGACTTCTTTGTTTAATAACACTAGTCTCTGACGTTTTCTTGGTATATCAATGGTGAAGTCATTATTAATTGACTCCCATCATAAACATCATACAATTAGTTGCTTCAAATATCTCAGTTAGTAAAGCCGATAAATATAGTAAGTCATTTATACAACCTTTTATTTTTAATAAGGTGCCAGAAATTCAAAACTTAAATAGATTTTTACTTCTGATATTTTCCTACGTTTAGATAGAGTCGATCAAATTACATAAGAAAAAAACAATACAATGAGTCAAGAAGTCATTTTTCAACGAAAAATTTTCAAACAAAGGCTTCTCTGGAAAAATGGGTGTGGATGGGCGCAGGTTTGAGTTTGAGTTGTGCGATCTAACAAAAAGCTTACACCCGCACCATGATCTATTGACTAGCTGCTAGCTGCTGTTCATCACAGAAACAATTTATGTCGTAAAACCCTTTTGTCTCAGAAAAGAGAACAAACGCGCTACTTGCTTGTAAGCATACTTTAGAGAAAGACTACTACCAATACAAAAATATTCGAAAGCTAATTTCGAGTTGATTGGATAATACATTCGACAGCCTTCAAAGCGATATCTTGCACAATCTGAAAGATCATCCGCCATGACACTTTTCTCTTCCTCACTCTTGTTTGATGACCGAATGTGGGTAGTGTTTCTTAACCCACACACACTCACACCCCACACCCACACTCAAGTATTGCACGATTAGTGCCTAATTCTATACGTTTTGCGTTCAATTTGAAAGTTTGACGACATAAATATACATAATTTATAAAAGCAAAATTTTATATGATCTATTGATATAACATCATTTGTTTTAATTTCTTCTGAATAATGTTGACAATTTAATTTCGTTCATATTCCATAGAAACAGCTCTAAAACCAAAAAATTCCAAAAAACAAGCCCAATAATCAGTATATATTTCTTTTGTTTTACTCTAACGATAAAAAACTAAAAAAGCAGTGACACTGATTCATATATTATCATCTGTCAAAATTATAGCCGCTCCCATTGAATAATGAGCCGAATTAGTGATGAGTGTCTATCAAGAAAATAAAATTTAATATAAGAAAATAAATGAAAAGCTGCTGATACAATTCCTATGGGATTAAAATGTGAAACAAAACGTAGGTGTCGTTAATATTCACAGAAAGATTCTATTTTGGAACACATTTTATAGCTATTGTTTTGCTTAATTCTTTAGAAATGCAATAAGAAGGTAATTCATATTTCATAAGGAAATATTATTGATGAATGATCTTTGATCGCGTATTAACAGCGTCTGTCACAATCTGTAGCAGTTTCTATAGGAATTTCGAGCCGGACTTAAAGTTACCTCATTAACTCTTATAAAAATTCTTATCTCCTTAATTGGTTGCTACATTCCGCATCCCTAAGAAGGATGTGGGTACCCTCTCTATCCATAGTCGCAATCATACACCATACACCCACATGCAAGGAAAGAAAATCGGATTTCTAGTGCTCCAAATACATTAGGGTATAAAGGATATACTCAGAATACGTTGAATACATTAGAGTTACTGAGAATACTGTTTGATACGATGGAGAAAATACAAAGTGTATACGATAGATACAATGTGACTACGAGCAAGTTCATACTGATAAAGAACTTTTATCGGTTACACAGAATGTCGAATGCATTTTGACATATATTTCGACTCTCAATACATTGTTTTATGCAGCGTAATAGATTTAAACCCATGACAATAACAATATTAATTACTTATTGTCTAATGATTTTATCCGCTGAACATTCGTTTGATATATGCAACACAGCTGACAGAGTGAGACAGTATAGAATGAAAAGCCTAAATTTGTGTTTGTCTTCTTCAGTATATTCGACGCCCTCACTTTTTTATCAAGAAGGAAAAAAATCGGATTTCGGTATCTTCCGTATCCACATCGTATCCGGTATACGTTAAGGATATAGAAGATATACTGGCATATGCTTCCTCTTCCCTTGCCCACATCTCAGTACTATGACGTCGTACTAAGCAGCTCGTCTCAATGAAAATAGCCCGGATCATAATTCCAACCATCGTGTGACGCATGTAGGAATGGGACATTGCTAAGGTAACGATGATATTTCAATGGTAAATATCTGTTAAGATCTATGGGTAGAGGGAAATGCCAATATCTATCTTATATTCTTCAAAACTTCTTTTTAGATCGCGTTTCATAAAATACGAATGCTAGACAAATTCTATGAACGCTAATACAACCTCTAATTCATGATGATATATATTGTCTGTGTGTCTAGATAATATTGATAATACATTTTGATTTTAACATGAAAGAAGTAGCTTACTATTGTTGTTGTTTTTTATAATGCCGATAACGATAAGTTCGAGAAGCAGTGCGAATTATAATAACTGTTTTTTCTTTTTTATGGTGATTTTCTATTTCTCGACGTTTTCGAGCTAATTCTTTTTGATATAAATAAAGACGTTCTTGTTCTTGATGTAATTTTAATAAATTTCTAGAATAATAAATATTTCTTTTAGTTATTGATCAATAAAGAGATTATTTACGGTGTCTTGGGTTTAATAAAATGCGGCGAATGTCTTTAGATTATAAAAGAAAAAGAAATTTTCATTATATTGTTTTTCATTAAAGATTTACTTCGCATGGGTATGGGTAACTGTAGAAATCTGTGGTAATTGATAATGATTAAATAATGGATAAATTAATGATGGTCCATATATTTGTTTTATCCAACTTTGTGAACTAATTAATGACTCACTTATCGATGATTCTCGTAATAAAAAATCTGTTCTCTGTTTTGATATGAATGAATCATCATCATAATTTTCTTCAAGTATATAAATCTGTAAGATTTAGTTTATTTATTTCAATGGTAGAAAGGAAGTAAAACATACTTCAGGTGCAATTGTCTAGAAAAGAAAAATACACATACAAGTATAATGTACGCGTTCGTGAGAAGTTTAAGACTATGCTACTCTATTTATTTCTTCTATAGATCTTTATTTCTCTACTCGTTTTAGTGCTTTTATACTTAAATGAGTAAAGAAAATGAAACCTCATGATATAATATAAATATTTAATAATCTACAAACCATTGGTGGTCGAAAATTTTTCAATTTTAATTCTTTTTCTTCATCATGTTTAATCTTAGTTAAAAATCGACAAACACTTCGAAGATAAATAAATTTTTTCGGAAAATAAGTTTCTTCACCACAAATATCAATAATATATTGACGAAGTTCATCAAGAGTTAAACTTTCAGGCACACTATTAAAATTGTAATCGTTAATATACACTTTAAATTTTATTCAAATTATTTACCGTACAAAACCTGCTGATATAACTTGTTTCATTACTTCATGTTCAGCTAAAGGTTGATGATTTTTCCAAGTTCGTTTTGGTATTATATAAACATGAAAATCAACAAGCTAAACAACAGATTATTAATTATATTGTTTATTTATTTACCTGTGATGAATCAAATCGATCTATGGTAATAAGATTGGTACGTTGTATTGATTGCTGATTTTCAACTTGAGATTGCATCTTTAACAAAATGCATACATAAGCTTGTGGGAATTAAATTTCTTTTTTTTTTCACTCTGCAAGCTTCATCATTTTATTCAATCAAGAAAAAAAAAACAAAAAACACTTATTTTGCCATGATCGGCTTAAATTGATTGCACATATTTCATGAATACTTCTTTCTTTTTGTTGTTGTTTTGACGTCCACATCAAAGTCAGAAGTATAGTGTGTTTTATTTTAAATTAACTTTTTGTTAAAAGAATAATTTTGTTTACCACTCGTAAAATAAACAGTATATATTAAAAGCATTATCTATGGCTCTAGAAAATATACTTTTTTGGCCTGAATCTGTGACATTTTCAAAGAAAAAAAGTAAAATCTTTGTTTTCTTTGTAGTTTTCAATTTTCATTATATGTGCAAAATCATTCGTTGTCGATACGAATTGTGAAAATTAAAACATATGTGTCTCGAGATAATAAACTTTCCTAAAACTTGTTTTTATATATAAAATATATGTGTCAAGTTACTCTAAATATTATGGAAAAATCACCGCTAGAGACCTTTTTTCAATAGAATTATCAATCAAAACGTTAACACATTAGCAGAGACAAAAAAAAGTTATCGACATTGACTTTATGCACTATAGTTTTTTCTGAGCATGTCTAGCTTTTTCAAACAAATCGATTTAGTCATTAGTGACGTGACACAGTATGAATATTCAAATGAAGAAAATACCCTTATAACCGCATAAAAAATCTAAAACCAATGCTAAATAGTAAAGTTCCTTTTTCATCATCTTTAGGTGAGGGTAAGACAAAAATTTTCGTTTCACGACTTAATTCGATCTGCAAAAAGTCGATTATTAAGAGAAACGTTTTTGGAGTTCAATCTCGTTGAAAATTTGATCATAAATGCGACTCATATCGTAGAATCTATTTTGAACTTTTCAGATTTTTCTCTAATACGGTTAGAAAGATATTCGCTAGCTACTTTTGAATTAATAGTCAACTGCAAGAATCAATATTTTTACATATGTCTATACTATAAGAACTTATTTAGAAAAATAACCCTTGTATAGCATCAAAGTCAAATGAAAGGCAGGTATGTCTTATTATCTTAAGAAAAAAAATCTAGACAACAATAATTTTATTTGCTTTTTTGATATATTGATGGACTCCTTTTGGATTATTGTGATAACTTCTATGATTAATTTTGGGCTGATATGTAATAATTAGAGTACTGCCTAGCATCAATACAACAAATGAAAGAATAATTCTTGAGTTCAACCAATAGTTTTGGTAAAAATGAAAAGATGGTATCAATATAATAATGCTTCAAGTAAAGTCATTTTGATGGAANAGTTCTAGGCATCAATCTGAAGTAGCTTCCGAAAACTATAAATATCTTATTAATCGTAGGACAATCAGTTCGTAATAAAGAACTTGGCAACAGTTTCTCAGATCCGTATTATTCAAGAATCGTTATATATGTATTTAAAACGTTTTTTTTCAGGTTATAACAATTCTATTTAATATAATTAACTTATAGAATAAAAAAAAACAAGCATAGAAGGTACAAGAAGAAAAATCATAGCATCCAACATAAGATTATTCTGGATTTTTTCATATTGTCCTTTCTTTCATTATTATTTCAAGTGTTCTACAAAAAAAATCATCATTCTCTTTTGAAAAACACATTGGTCATAAAAAACAAAAGAAAATCAAGAAACAATATTTACGATTTTAATTTAATCACATTTTGATCTGGTTCATCCAGTTCAACAATTAAACGATGTTGACGAAATTCCAGGTTGATGATTCCCGACACCGGCTTCCAAAAGAACCGACCCACACTCTATGCGCGGAAAATGGAAGCAGTATTCCAGCCAGAGCGCACCCGTACTAGAAACCGTTTTTTTCCGAAACTTTCCCGTTATCGGAAACTCCAAAGAAATTCTCCGTATCCTGCCGGAAACTTGCTCGAACGGCCCCGTATCCCTTCCATAACAAACAAGGACTGAAGCACCTATTATGAATTCGTTAGCATTTTTGAGACCACTTCGCTTCTCTGAGATTTCAATCCATTAAGGAGGACCCCATTCCCATGATGGATTTTCTTACCATTTTTCAAGCATTTTTGAGAGTATTTTCATTAATAGGATTTAGAGTCAATAAATTTTGTGTTGAATGGAGTAATGCATTTTAGAGTGGCTCTTTTTATAGAGTTCAAAATCGTGATACTACATGATGTGTCTGTTATATGGAGGGGCTTACTAGACCAACTTTTTGTCAAGTCCCAATATCAGATTTTTCTGGATTGGGTTTTACTGGATCGGTTCTTGATTTCGTTAGTAAATTTGTGTCAACGCGTGTCAGAGTGGATGAACTTGAGTGATTGATTAGTTTCCCTATGCTTTTTACTTCTTTTTTGAATCAATAAAAAGTCTTTGGAGAACGGAATCAATTTTTAGTATTGTTTGACGTATGTGCGCAGCTTGGGCGAGTAGGAGTGTTACCTGTTCCTCGGAATTTTTTACTAGATTTGTCGGACACCTCTCCTATAAGAGTCATTTTTAAGACAAATCAAGAATAACATTTTGGAAGGCGGAAAGCAGATTTGGTTTTGCCGATCCGTAGTGCATGCAATGAAAGTTTTAAAAAATTGTTAGCGTCCCGAAAAAGTCTTGCTTTGATGAAAAATTAAGTACAAGTTTCGCAAAACGGATAACAGCTTTGGATTTGTTGACTCTGATTACCATGGATAGAAGTTTACTAGTCAAAGCCAGGTCAAATCGCGTGAAATCCAACTCAAATGAAGTGAAATCCCAATGGAAAGCAGTGAAATTCTAGCCGAGTACAGTGAAATCCAAATGTGAATCGGATCAAGTCCAAAAGAAAGAATTGGATTTGGATTTGACTACAATTTGATTTCATGCAAACCTAGTTAAACGGTGCTCTTATGATTGTATGGAAAAATGCTGAGTTCTGAAGGAAGGACATTCTCTTCCTTAAAAAAGCTTTAAGGTCTTCACTGTTGTAGGTTTTTGAGGGCGTACTGGTCTAAGCTAAATTACATTTTTTTTCCGTTTGGATTAAAGATCGATTTAAAATCTCACATCCTAAATTAGTACCTGTGCAGGTGGGTATAGGTATGTATAGGTATGGTCATGTACGTAGCAGAGTAATTAGGTCCAGCAATTACTTAATAACTTACATCTGGCTTTGTATCAACACCTTAAAGATTTTTAGGAAATTTCTAATCCAACTTACTCTTACTTGTGTTGCGACGACAATGAGCTGATCTACAGGGCGATAGACATATATATAGGATAGAGGGCGTTCGCGGGTGAATAGTCCGTCCACGGTGTCTGACTTATTAAGAGCTTTTCAGGGAGGTACTTATGACTCAGCAACGGTTATACAAGGGGGTACTTATGACATGTCAAGGCTTATCCAAGGAGGATACCTTTAGGTCTTCAAGAAATATCCAGAGAGATACTTATGACTCATCAGCGCCTCTCCTAGGAAGGTAGTTATAGATCTTGAAGAGCCATCCAGAGAGGTACCTATGACTTTTCGTAGGCTACTCAGAAAGGACAGTTATAAGTTTTCAAGGATTATGCGAAGGACGCATTACTTCTTCAGTACGAGGGAGAATAGATGCTCATCGAAGAACCTATTTTGAACGTGAATTGATGGAGAAAAAAGTATATAGCTTCATCTATTTCGTGATATTGTGAAAAAAAGTTATCAAAATATTGTG